TGTTACTGCTTTGTGGTGTGAAAAATTCCCCAGGCAGACGCAATGTCGTGCCGTATACAAGTTCAGCGGTGGAACATTGAATATCTGCGTTTAAGCTCGTTCTGATACCTAAGAGGACGAGCGATAAGGTTTCGTACCAAATATTGTTTTCATGTGCTCGAAGAGAACTTTTAAACTGTCGATAAAACCGTTCAACTAGATCATTTGATGCTGGATGGTAGGTGGTAGTGCGTCTGCGTTCCATACCAAGCAGCCGGGTGAGTGTGGAGGATAATGCGAACTCGAGTTGTTATCCTCGTTCAGTCGCGACGGTCGGGGGACAACCGTACGGCGCTATCCATCGTTCTACGAGGCGGTGAACAACTGTTTCCGCCGTAATGGACGTGATGGGTATAGCTTCGGACCATCTTGTAAAACGGTCGACGCACGTGAGTATGTGATCATACCCGTGCTATGGTGGCAATGGTCCCACAATGTCTATATAAACGTGATCAAAGCGAGCATTAGGCGTAGCGAACGTGCCAATGGGGGCAGCTACGTGCCTGTGAACTTTTGATCGTTGACATTGTAAGCATTGCTTTACCCACATACGGACATCTTTATTCATGGACGGTCAGACGTATCGTGCAGCGATGAGACGTAATGTAGCTACCATACCTGGATGAGATAGTTCATGCAGGGCATCAAAGACGAGGCGACAGTAAGCAGAGGGTACGATGGGTCGGGCAAGACCTGTAGAAGTATCACATAAAATAGTACCTGAGGTAGTAGCTAGGGGTACTTCCTTGCACTGAACGGATGTAGATTGTGGTGCTTCTGTACAAAAGGGATCGTTTGCTTGGGTGGCAGCCATAGCGGGAAGATCGAGCACCGGTAAAGTAACTGCACTCACTGGGATACGTGACAGAGCATCAGCAACATAGCTCGACTCGCCTTTAGTGTGACGAAGGTCTGTCGTGAACTGAGAGATATAGTCCAACTGTCTGCATTCTCGTAGTGAGTAGCGGTCAGACTTGGTATGCAGAGCATACGTTAAAGGCTTGTGGTCGGTGAATAAAATGAAATTGCAACCTTCTACTGAGTGTCGGAAATATTTAATGGTACAGTAGGCTGCTAGTAGTTCTCGACCAAAAGCGTTATATCTCGTCTCCGTGGGAGTAAGGCGTCGTGAGAAAAATTCGAGAGGTTGCCGACTACCGGGGATGTTCTGTTGCATAATGGCTCCTATAGCAAAATTCGATGCACCAACTACTTTACTAAACGTGGCTGATGGGTCAGGATGAGCGAGGAGTGTGACTTGAGCCAGAGACGTTTTACTCCCTAAAAATGCAGTATTTGCGGCATCGTTCAATTCTAACTTGCGTGGATTACCACAAAGTAAATCGGTTAATGGTCGTAACCGTTCTGCCGCGTGTGGGATGAAACGTCGATAGAAGTTAACCAAACCGAGAAATGCTTTCAGTTCCTTGACTGTGGACAGCATGTTGTACTCCCTTATTGCACGTATCTTGTCCTCGCAAGGTAAAATACCCTCTTGCTTAATGATGTGACCCAAGAATATTATTTCTGGTTTACCAAATTCACACTTGTCCGGGCTGACTACTATTCAGTTATCCGAAAGACGTTGGAATAAGAGTGTTAGATGTTGATAATGTTCATCTACATTAGATGATGCGATTAGCAGGTCATCAATATAGACGTGGACAAAATCTGTCTCGTACTATGCTATCGATAAACCTTTGGAAAGTTTGAGCAGAATTCCGTAATCTAAATGGCATTGGTAGGAACTCAAACAGACCAAAAGGAGTCGTGATAGCGGGTTTTTCGATATCTTCAAGAGCGACTGGGATCTGATGATATGCTCGTACCAGATCGATCTTCGAAAAGATAGTCGTGCCATTAAGCGATACCGTGATGTCGTGTTACTACAGGTTCATAATATTAAAAAACTCAGTATATTTTAATTTTCCTGTGATGATCCAGACAAATATTCACATGTAAATCTGTATGTTTTCTAATTCTTTTTTCACAAACATTTCAACATACTAATCAATACTAATTAGTTCGAATAATACAGAAAATATATTTATAATAACATCTACGTAAACTTCATTAGTTTACATTACACACTCGTGATATTATTTATTTACTTATAAGTACGTCTATTCATCTAAACTAAGTAATCAGTTGGAAGCAAGATCTGATAGCTAAAATACATTCAGTCATTTCACAGATAAATTGTTCACACGGACCAGTGATTTGGTTAAATATTATTTTCTCGGATCTCCTATAGACAAATGTTTTGAAGTGTATTTTCAAAGTCATATCATTGGTTCGTTGATCCACTTCAAATAAATAATCTTCAGGTTATTTATTCAGAAGAACTTGCAATTTTCTGAACTCGAAACTGACCGACATGAAAAATATCTCGGGAAATTTCCCTGCCTGCACGTGTTAACGGCAACCGTAGCCGGCAAACACACACGTCTGTTATACGTCACTGATGTGATAATGAAAGTTCGCTACCTCGTCAATACTGACGCAGAAGTTAGTGTTCTTCCGGGAACTTCTAACCGTCGGTTTCACGAACCGGTTTTAAACTTACAGGTGGCAATCGGAAACTCTATACCTACATATGGTAAAAGGTACGTTTACCTTAACGTGGGTTTACGCGAACCCACCCAGTGGATTTTCGTTTTTGCAGATATTTCTATGCCAATTAGTATAGGTCTGCTACAACATCACAATCAACTCATTGATACGCGCAAACGGAGGCTAGTAGAAGGAAACACCAGTTTATCTGTTTGAGTAACTTCTTTTCCCGGTTGCAGATTATCTCCAGTCACAGTCAGGCACACGATAGATTCCTTCTATCAACAATTACTCGACAAGTATACTGGGATATACCAATCACAACCAAAATTGCCGTGTGTAACCAGCAATGTTGTACATCACATCACTACTACAGGATCTCCTGTATTCTCGAAAGCGCGCCTACTGGCTCCCGATGTTGGCCAAAAACGAATTCGACTACATGATAGAGTTAGGAATCATTCGGCCGCCAAGCAGCCCATGGATACCTCCCTTACACATGGTCCCTAAAATGGACAGCAACGATTGGCGTCCAACTGGTGACTATCGGCGATTGAATGCAAAACCCATTCACGATCGTCACCGTCACGATCGTTCACGATCGATCGCCTCACATTCACGACTTGACTGCTACCTTGAATGGTACAACTGTCTTTTCGAAAACCGACTTGGTCAAAGACTATAACCAAATTCCTATGGACACTGACGACATTCCTAAAACCGCTATCATTACTTATTTAGGTCTCTACGATATTTTTGCATGCTTTTCGGCCTAAGAAGTGTTGCATAAAGTTTCCAAAGTTTCATCGATAATGGTAGTGCCTTTACTACTCCGAGGAATTGCGCACGTGTGCCGTTCACGTAGTGCTCTTAGAAGTCGACCTCTGCATAATAAAACCAGGCTTCGATGTTGTCTGGCCAAAAGGGCTTTAGTTGAAATGAAGGTGGAGTCATAGTCATTAACTTAAGTAACGTAGGTGTCTGTTTTGTCATGGCGAAATATCAAGTACAAGAATGGACGAGAAAAAAATTTATTTATAAATATATATATATATATATATATATATATATATATATATATATACGAAAGAAAATCACAATATATAGGAATTAGAATGAAGCAATGACATATAGAATTACAAAAAGGAACAGACTCACATTTTTTAAGTTGGTGTACCAGATCACGTCGGGCTCACCAATAAAGATGCCACAGGTATTTTGAGTTTGACAATGCTTTAACCAGTAACACCTACCATGATTTCGTTTCGCAGTGTACTACAGACATACAACACATGTCTGGAGCAAATAATGTAGTTGCCGACGTCTTGTCTCATATAATTTTTTTGAACAATTTCCAAGGAATCGACCCCCAGTCTCCCAATTTTGTGAAAAATTTCACCTATTTTGGGGAAGCTGCTATAGAAAATTTTGAGAAAATGGCATAAAAACCCCAGAATTTCCCAAAACTTGGGAGATTGGTCCTTTCTAAATTCGCCCAGCTTCAAAAAGAAGACACTGATCTTCAGGACGAGTTATCTTCAAAAACCTTAAAACTACTCATTACACAAATGGGGACAGGTAAGGAAACCTTATTATGCGACACATCTATAGGTCGGAATCATCCAATAGTGCCGAAATATTATCGACGCAACGTCTTCAATACGTTGCACAAACTTTCTCACCCAGGTGTTCGTGCAACCATCAAGCTCATAGCAGGATGGTTTTACTGACCTGGTATGAATAAAGACGTGAGGGAGTGGGAACGCTCCTGTGTAAGCTGCCAGAAATCTAAGGTGATTAGACACAACAAATGTCTCTTAGGCTCATTCAAAACTCTCGATGCTCATTTCGACCGTGTTCATCTGGATATGGTAGGACATTTACCAGTTGAATCTCATCCGCATAAAGGATCGGATTCCTGTGATAATTAGAAGTATTTGAATTATAGTATGAACTAAGAATCCCAAAAATAACGTAATCGGATCAAGAAGTACTAGATAATCACAAACGAATTTACTGTAATTAGAATTCGAAATCAAGCATTAAACAAGTACAAAGGAATCATTAGTTCATTCAAACACCATAGTTCGGTTATAGCGAAATCACTCAAAACTATTTATCGTAGAAAGGCGAAGGAAATTTTTTTTACAATATATATACATTCGTGATTGAAGTGAACAAAGTTAAATATTTAACTAATTTCACTATTAGAAGTATTAGAAATTCAGAAAAAGTATGCTCGCTAGTAAGAAAACAGGATACATCAAAATAAAGCAGTCGATGGCTTCTTGAAGGTCAGATTTAAAAACATGAAGATTGAAAGAGAACGTTCTACTGTGATCTTATAATGGATTACACTTCGAAGAAGTAGAAAAATAAAATGTTAACTGAAAGAGATATATGTACAAATACCGTCTTTGATAATTCTAGGCTACTCATCATCAAATTTCCTTCATTTTCTTTACAAATAATTAAACTGCTTTATTCCTGTCAAAAAGGTAAAATACTGTAATGTAAGAATATGATGTAGATATGAAATATAGACAAAAGTAAAGTTCAACAAACTAATCATGCCTGAGATATTGACTTCAAGTTCACGGAGCATACGTCTACCTAACATGATGCTTATCTTCTCATTATTAATAATCTTAATGAGACATAGTAAACATGTTACGAAATTCTTTGTTCAAAGTTATTTTTTTTTGATAGAGTTCCAACAGCCAGTCATATAAAATAAATTGTTTTAAATCTAAAACATCTGTTGTGTTAATCATCGGCTGCTGAATCTAGAGAATAAGGGTTGATTATCTTAAAAATGACAATCCTAGTTGTGAAACAACTGCAAATCTCCTTTATTCATCCATCAAATATTTTTTCAAATAAAAGATGTCTCGTTCATTCACTGAAAGTTGATTAGAAAGTCTTCCAGTTAATAATTCAAAACCAGGTTGTTGGCCTATTAATCCTTCAGTTTAGTTCGGATATGTAATTGATTGTTTCTATGATAGAAATTTTATGTGTAAAAACAATTTCTCTGCATATTTAACAATCTACAAATTGAAATAAAAACTGATCGAATCCCTGTGCAATGGTTCATATGATATTAGCAGCACTTCGAAAAGATTGTTCCGCGTGAGTATATCCGGGGACGCTTACCTTACTTCTCAGTGGCCAACAAATTCATCATCCTGAATGGATTGATGTCAGTAAATTAGTTGCAGCTTCTGTTGCAACTAAATATCAAACTAAGCTAGGTTCAAGGACAGCGACCATCCCACCGAAAAGTATAGATGAGCATTGGTTGCAATTGCATGACGCCATCAAAATGGCGAGTAAAGCCGCTTGCGGCCTCGCCAAATGTCCCGCTTATTAGCACTGGGTTTCTTCAGGCTCCTTACAACTCATTGAAGCCCGTCGGTCTACTCCGAGTGCCCGTGAGTTTGACCACAAACGACGACTGTTGCGTAATGAAATTGGACAAAGCTTGCGTAAGGATCGAGAAGTCTGGTTGTCGGAGCGTGCTAATGAGCTAGAGGCGGCAGCTGCATCTGGTTACTACCGAAAGCTCTTCCAACTCATCCGAGCCACTGGTAGCAAGAAGTCTAGCGTGGGCGAAACAGTCTGTGAGAATGACAGGATGCCAATCACTAGCATCTATCGACGTCTTGGACGATGGACAGAGTTCTTCGGATGGCAGTTCAGCTGGCCTGCTGCTCCGGAAACATCGGTCAGACTGTCCTGCCCTCCATGGCCGGTGACAACTGATCCACCAAATGAGGCGGAAGTCCGCAAGAAACTCCAACTCTTGAAGCGCAACAAAATCACCGGGCCCAGTTGACTCACCTTCGGCCCTCTTTAACGATGGTAACGACCTTCTGGTTAAGGAACTGACAACGTTGTTTACAAAGGTCTTAGAGTTAAAGAGTGCTTCAACATCATATAAACTGTGCATCTTTGTAAACTGATTAGTTCAAATTCAAATATCATCAAGGGCTTTGATTGGGCGTGAGAATTCGCATTTTTAAATTTGAATTTTATTTCGAATAAATAATTATGTCTGACTGTTCCATCCGAGTTTTAATAAAAATCTCAACTTCTGAAAAATATACACCAACTGCATTTCACTATCCTGCTATACTCCTGTCAGTGAATGTATATCGGGATAAAGTTTTTTTCGATCAAGTAGAAATGGAACTGAATTCGTTAGTTATCATGACAAGAGAAATTATATGTATATCATTAAAAGAAAATTTGGGCAGAACTAATAACTGGTTCTAATATTTGATAGTGATTACTAAAGTTGAAAGGTAGTCAACTGTTTAATACACAATTAGTAAACAAATTATCACCTAAGTATTTCCATTAGTTTTTTCCTAACACATCGTATTCAACGTATCAATAAATCATCATGGTAAATAATGAATAGGACATGTATTATTCACACTAACCATTAAGGATCGGTAAATGAAGCGACTTTTACGCTATCCCAAAAAAGTAATAATTTCTGAGAAAGAGGCAAATAATATTTATGATTGGGTTATTTTGTAAACAATAATTCTTAATTCAGAAGTGTTGTTTAGTTTCGCTTTAAAAAGGGTTTCGTTAATAAAACGTTAGATTGTAATTGAGTTATTTTTCTAATCCATTATAAGCGTAAACTGTTTTTACCTGTACATTCTTTGTAGTTGTGCAGTTTGTAATTATGACAAAATATACTTGTCTGTGTAAGCAGTCATGTAAATCGGTTATTGTGCTTGGGAAGTGCGCGTTAGGTTTTTTTCACGTTATGTCAACAGCAAATATTTTGTAAGTGCGTAGTCTAGCCAAATCATTATCTGAATTTGTAAATGACATTGCAAACTTTACTTATTTATAAAGTCGAAAATAAATAAAATTAATTATTTTCTCTAGATAACTGTGAGAAATAAGATGAATACGCTAGATATCAGCTAGATATCAGAAAAAAAAATTCACGCAACTTCGTGGATTGGTTGAGGTTAGACATTAACACCATTGGGTGTCGATTCAGTGGTCCAATAGGTTGGGCGTTCGCGCGCGAGGCTGAAGGTCCCGGGTTCGAATCCCGCTAGCGGGATCGTGGATGCGCAGTGCTGAGGAGTCTCACAGTGGGACGAAACGGCCATCCAGTACTCCCAGGTTCTTAATGGTGGTCTAACATCAATCGGTTCATGATCTCAATCAGTAACACTTATGTTTGGTATTGTGAATAATTATCAGACAATTGATATTGAACAACTGATTGAATCATTTGATATAATCAACTTACTGTAATATATTTAGCCAGTTCATTTGCATAAACATTTCTTGGACTCCTAGGATAACAGTTACTCACTATCCAGGCAACAGCTCTGTCTTTTCCTTTCGCTATATTCTCCAATTTTGTCGAATGGATTGTTTTATTGATATCATCTGTTTTAGGTTCATTCGGTGTATACATTCCATAAGGTGTGCGAATAGTTGAATCAAATCGATATGATGCAGTGAAGTTAATCTGAGAAATATACAATAAATAAAATGAATGTTTTTATCGGACGAATTTTTTAAAAATCCTGCTAGATATTTAAAAGATCCTATATCCATTTTAAATACAAGTGAATTCTTTCACTGTAAATGTGTAAAAGTAAACCATGAGTCGATACCAACATTTAAAACATTTTGAAATAATTAGGCCAAATATATTAGTCGTCACTATTATGTACAACACAACGCAAAGCATAGAGAAATCAACTGGTAGAAAACTCAACAAGACACAAATACAAACTTATTTTTATTGATTTACTCGGAAAGGTTTACACACAACAACTATCGACGAAAAAATTCTTCAAGTTACTTTAAAATCATATGCGTTTTTTGTACTGGCCTCAGTTAGCGGCGAACTCTACGAATTAATTATTGATTGCATACATGCTTTCATTTACCTATGTGCAAACTTCAGATAAATCTAGATTATGAAATATGGTAGTTAAATAGACGGAGACAAAAAAGAATATTATTACACTAATTTTTTCTTTCAAATTGTAAGGAAAAAGCATTATTTACCCATAATTATTTGAATAAACTTAACCTTATTTGATTGAATATTCGAGACTGTTAAACTCACTTTATCATTAAGTTCATCACTAAGTCGAGTATGGAGTGCTGATTCATACTCAAATGCCACCCAAGCCTGTTGATGTGGACGCTTTCCGGAAGGAAATTGTCTGCTTGGAATTAAAATAAGATCACTTTGAATCCAACGAGTTGTATCAGTATGAATAACACAATTGTTCACTGGACAATTTGTTACATCTTTGTTCATATCTGCCAACATCCGCCCGTAGATGATAATTTCATGTTTCTAAAAAAAGCATTTTGAGATAATTTCGAAGCTCAGACAAAATGTCATTAATATACTACTCAAAATGTGTACAACATTTGGCATACTTGTTATATCCCGACGAGAATTATGAATGGTAACTTTTAAAACTACTTATGGACCAATAAGATACATGTATTTCAATTGTATAGTCGTTAGGCAGCTAAACTATGCATGTTCATGTTCCTCTTATTATAAGCTTCATTTTTACCTATAGACGATTATTATACGATTTACCGTTCTTGAGTTCTGCCCAGTCTATTAATTACAGTTCCCCACATTCACAGCCACTTTTGGCTAGATCTTGTACAAACGTTGTCTTCCATTTTGTGGTGTGATGTGGTCTGTTTGGTTTGCGTGTAAACATAGTATGTTTAAAATACATGATTCACATCGCGGAGGCTGGGTTTGATGTTCTGGAATCAATAGGCAGAGCTAAGCAGGAAGAAGGACCGATAATGATTCTAGACTGCTCGCACGGGCTTTATGCGTCATTGGTCAGGTAGATAAGTCACTATTCTCTAATTGGCGGTACCATTACATTATATATTAATAGGAGAATGGATACAAGTTATAACAAGACTTTTATGTATTCTAATTAGGCTACTTCATGAAAAAGAATGTCAGTCATTGGTGAAAACAAACCAACTAATTATCACGAGCGAACCGAAACAATAATGCTCCGTTCTGTTTATTTCGATTAAACGTGCTTTCGATTATGACAGGTTTACATGCAAACAAGATAGTCACTACTAACCTAAAAATAATCTATAATACAATCGAAATAATTTAGTTCACATAATGTCAGTTATTTAGTACGAGTTATAATACTATCAACAATATATTAGAATTCTCATGAAACGATATAAAACATGGTCAATCGGAGTATATATCGATTTAATATAAACATAACACAACTAGTTGAAAAAGTTGAAGGTGACTAAAGTTGTATGAGAAAAATAAAACAAGAATGATTTGTAAGAGAGCACAACACGAAAATAAAATCTAATCAGTTCAATAACGTGAAATAGATATACGATTTGTTTCATATACGTGAATTGACAGCATCTACCAGAAAACTGTGAAAATTAAGACTCTATCTGTTCTGACCGAAGTGTTTTGTATTAGATATAAATATGAATGTATGTCGTTTTCGAGGAATTGTTCATGACAATTTCATCGTTATTTTGCACATTTTTGCGCCGTCATTAGTTCTGATTTTGGGCTACTCATATCGTTGATGAAACCACCTGATTAAATATGTTAGTAAAACAATATCTGAATAGGGAGATGGAAGAAGAACTGTTAATATTTTTGGTTTCGCAAATGTGAAGAACGTTAATGTTATTTGTTTTCTGGATGAAAAGGAACAAGCTTAAAATACCATGATGAATTTTCAGTCAGTTTCTATCCATTCAGAAAATAAATTCGCTTTGTGTTGGTTTATTTGTTTCTTCCCATTGTTATTTAGGACTGAAATTAATCAGTCTCCTGTTGGCATGTGTGCATCCAGTGAGATTGTCTCGATATAGCCTTAAGTCATAAGCTTTTTAAGCAAAGGTGTATAGTGACTAGCAATGGAATCCAGGACGCGCGTTTCGTCCCATTTGTGACTCGTCTTCTGGATGTACCTGTATCTCAGGGTTGATTTTCACTCCGGGACTCGTTTCCTCCGACCCTTATAAGGAGTCAAACTCCAATTTTAAGAGTCCATATTCTGTTCCCATGTCAGATGTGGTACAAAATGCTTTGTAGTTTTATTTATAAATGATTTTTGCTGTAAGAGTAGAAGAGATGCTATTTGATTAGTTCATCCATAAAATATAATACTCTCGGGTTTATATTTGTCCCAGAACTAAGGTACGGGGTTAGGAATCAGGGACAGTGTTGATTTGTCTACAGAGAAAGAGTTAAGCATTTGACACATCTGGTAGTAACAATTTTATTCTGTGATTGCAGCAAAAAGTTTTCTTTTTCTTTTAAAAGTTCTAACGCTAGAATTATTTACTGCTCGTTATACGTGATATTTGAATCTAGCTAATAAACCTAAAAGTCGTCCGTTCCGTCCCTACACCATACTTTTATGGTTTTCTGATTTGGGTATGAGACTGAGAAGAAAAGTGCATCAAAAGGGTCTAAACAACGAACTTTATTATATGTAAAACAACATAGCAATTAAGTAGGTTACCTCCAGACATGTTATCATGAGCACCCTCATTAAACGAAAATAAAAAATAATCAGGTCAGAAATAAGATAAGACTAACCTTGGTTTTATTTAACAGAAGACGCCCAATCATTACGTCACTGAAAAAGCATCATGTATACAAGAATGGACATTTCTCACTTTCTGAAAACTTTGAAGTTCGGATAATAAACAGGCTGTTTAACCATATTCCATATTGCTAGGTTTTGGTAGTTTGAAATATACTGACCTATTTCGTTTAGGCTAAGACCCCACATGTACCAAATTCCAAATGTAACAGTTGAGACTGCCAAGATTATCATAACTTTGAGTCTAACTACTGAGGTGATTCTAGGGAAGTCTTTGACAGATTCCATAGTGAAATTATTCGAATAAACCTTCGTCTCAGTAAGTTTCATTAATTTATGAATATGTGTTACTAGTAAATTTAGAACACCAATAATTAAGCTTTTCAGTAGTTAGAATGTATCCAATCCGATTTAAATATAGAACACATAAGAAGGTCTGCCCAATTAGATTGCTCATGTTCTAAAATATGGTTAGCAACTTTGTGACAATGATTACACAGAATGAATGTAATTGGTGAAGATTGAAATTAAACATATATCTTCATTTTCTTTCGGATTATAAATGAAGAAATGAAAATATTGAATTTCAGATCAAAGGTTAGATGATTTGAGTTGGCAACACATTACTGTATACTAAACTGATCAGAGAATAAATCAAACATCACTTCACGAAGGGAGCGAACATCAGGCGTTATGTATATAGTATGATGTGTAGAAATTGCATTTTCTCAATATATTATTTTCTCAAAAAACTTACCAATTTCTTGAAATAGTAACAACGAATACTTGCTAGAATTCTATGATTGATTTACTAACCAGTTTTATAAATGATTAAGTTAGTAATAATAATAATAATAGTGTTCTGAAGTTTTTCGAAAAGTAAATAGGACAGTTTATGAAGGTGAATATAAAGTTGATTTCGTTATTTTTTACTTTAGCTATGAATAATTTTCTGTTGTAATGTTTACTTTGGTTTTTTTTCTTTAGGGTAACACCGATGTGAAACTTTTATCAAACAATAAAAGCTTTATTCGTCAGGAAGCATGCTTCCTCTACATAGTCGCTATAAGCTTTTGGTATTAGTCTTCAATTCCACAGGTGAATTCTGATATTTTCACTTTTGGTAATTATAAGAAATCATACTTACACATATAATTGATATCTCTGGCGCTAAAATAACGTATATATACGAGACAGTTTAGATAGTTTCGTCATCATATCAAGGTTCATCGTTCAGGTTAGCTATTGAATTCATGTGAGTCCATAAAATAATTTGTGATATGAAATTTTGTTAGGTTTTAAGTATGATAGGTACATACTAGTAAATGTATCCCATAATTGGAGCTCGAGAGAGCAAATTACTCATTACCTCTGATTCAATCAAATTGTTTTTGAAAGCATTACCTTTCGTTGCTGGTAACATTTCACTTGGAGACCTAGATATGTACAAAAATGCATGTGAAGGTGAAGGTCAAGATGCACAGGCGGTGTTTCATAGGGTGATACGTGTTGACGTTTCAGTATATTAACCACCGTAGTCGATTTTGTTAGGAGATAGGTATTTTTAATCCTAATCAATAAACCGATTCATATGGGTAAGAACTTGAGGATATTCTCGTTAGTCTTTGTTTCAAACATTTTGCACAATTCAGGTAGTCTGTTAGAAGTAAATATGTTTCAGGGAACTAGTAGATCATACTCCTAATATTTTTTCATAAAAAGCATTGATTTTACGAAAAATTGCAGTTTTATTTCCAACTTCCTTTCAGTAACTATGGAGCTTCAAGAATTTGCGAGAACCCCAAGGACTAATAATGAGACATTTCATGAATCGACGGGTGAGATGCAGTCAAAGTTTACTAATGCATTATGACGAACAATTCCAAGAATTCACCTGAGACGAGCTAAGTATTTAGTCACTGAAGTGAATGCACGACCGAATGATACAAGTATCGAAGTAGCTTAAAAGCCAAAAATCAATAATTTGCTCACCGAACAAATTCTGAATTTCGAACTGACCAGGGTTCAAAATGTATAAACATCAGCCAAATGACTGAATACAGAAATGGCGTTTCATTTCTACGAGAAATATTCACCCGAGATAAAAAGATTTGTCAAGTTTCAAATGCGAAAACATGGTCAATAGTGTTAGGTATGCAGTGGAATATACCAATAATTATCGTGTCAAGTCTAGTGGTGTCCTTGTACGTTAAATGTACACTCCCTATTGGTCGGTATTTATTTCACTTGTTAAATATTGTGTAAATGTTGTTTTCTACTTTTATGGTACGATGTGGTCTATTTGGTTGGTATATAAACAGAGTATGTGTGAAATATAACGATTCATATCTCAGAGGCTGTGACTTGTGTTCTGGACTCAACTGGCTGGGCTAGACAGCGAAGCAGGACCAATCGGGACTCTAGATCGTTCATTACGTGTTATACGTGTCACTAATCCGATCGATAAAACGCTGCGCAGCTAACCTTCAGTCCACCCGTTACAACAAATAGATAAATGATATGAACGATAATTGACTAACATGTCAGAGAAATATGTTCACTCTATAATTCTTAATACAAATTTATACGTTTGTATTATAACTCGGATTTCACCACAGACTGTGTTCTGTTTGTCGACTGAGATAACTTGCGTTAAATAATATACTGTCTGGCTTTTATCGGGGTCATGATTTATGATTGTGAATACTGCATTTGGATGTGACATGACCCAGTCTTTATCTAGTGTATCTATTTAAGGTATTATCCTATTGGAGCACTGTATCCTTGGAATGAAAAAATATTTTCCCGTTACAACAATAAAGAGTACGAATTTCACTTTGCCAATATTAGTAGTCAAAATTGTAGGTGAAGCCAAATCGCTTACTTATATTCACCAAAAAAGGATTTATTATTGTATCACGTGATGTGACCATCAATTAGAGACATCAACCTGTACGACCAAACTAATGACTCATAAATCTGTAGCAGCTTAAAGTTCCTACTGGTCCTCTGAAATAGCAGCTTTTCTTCCAACCCAGACAGTTCAGACCAGAACGCCAATATCAACGTCCGCAAAACGAATCATATATTTCAGACATACTAGGTTTATGTACAAACAAACCAGACTGCATCATACGATAAATAGAAAATAACAGTTAAACAATAACAAGCTAAAACGTGGCTGTGATTGTGAGAGACTGATACTAACAAATTGGGGATATCTCAAGAATAGTAAATCGCATGATAATAGTTAAACGCTCGCGCGCGAAACTGATAGGTCCTGGGTTCGAATACCGCAGGGGCGGGATCGTGGATGAGCATTGCTGAGGAGTCCCATACTAGGACGAAACGGCCGTCCAGTGCTTCCAGGTTTTCCATGATGGTCTAGCTTCAAATGACTCATGATCTCAACTATTTAAATTACTAAAATCTCCACGAAACCCCTTCTGATAATAGTCAATAAGTCAAATAAAAGCTTATAATGATATATATATTTGACGCGAATTCAACTGTGTTCTGTAAACGGTATAGCTTTTCAGCGAATATCCACTCCGTCGTTCACTCATTGATAAACAACATGGAACCTGGAACTATTATTCATCGTTTCAAGTCATCACACACTACATCAACAGAGAGAGAAGATTAACAAGACGAAATGTAAAAGTAACGATGATAATAAAGTAAACAAAAGGAATATTATTTGGAGAGAACGAATGAAATAGGTGAATAAAAATTAAGAAATAATATCTGAACTTGAGATCTCGAGGAAGATATCTACAAGCTATTGCAACTGACTAAGAACAAGGTCATATAAGATCGTTAACTGAAGATTATGTCTAGTTTGTTTCAGTCAACACGTGTCAGTCCAATATTTAATGCCTTCATGAAGCAATTTCATGTTTCACTTCGACTTCAACTCGTTTCCTGTAATCTTGCCAGTATACTGTCCAGCGTTGCGCGGCTGCATAGACTGTGGCTGAGCATAAGGATAATAACTTCAGAACGTACTAGCCAGTGAAAGTTTACAGCCTCATAAACTAACTGACGATCTCTAACTACCACCCTTCACTTAACGTTAGAATTACTCATTTGTGCGATCTCACTTAACATGGGTGATACCTCAAAAGGGATTTATGACCCAATACTGAAAGTCTATATATATTTTCAAACTTTTAAAGTTATTTTTCATGGCTGTGGAATTATTTGTTGTAAGTAGAGGAAGCTACATTGTAAGATTAGCGGAATTGTGGTATTATAGCGACTCACGTGCAATTGAGTTTATCCTCATTTAGCTCAGTCAAGGTCTTTTGTTAACCTATTTAATGGACATAGTCATACATGCTATAACAACTTGTTGTACTGTTATTATTATTGCGCCTGTATGAAATACGTATGTTTGAACATTGTTTAGCGCCTACGCATATATTCATTCTGCTAGCTTCATTATTAGCTGCTTAATCTATTCGCTGACTCATCCATTTTCCTATACATATATATATGTGTACATTTGCACCCATTCACTACTACTACTGCTACAATCGTAGTTCACTTGCTCATTCATTTTGCCTCTCTGCTGTCTGGTCCGAATTATCTACTAAATAAACTGTAGTAGCTGCTTCTTTTTGCCTTCTGATTTCAAACACTGTCGAAGATTATATGGTAACGGTACGAGGGTGATTAGTTATCGAAGCGCAGCCACTACAGTATTAAAGTAATCAGTCAGTACCAAAAGTATGGATACATCTAGCTGATATTTTGTGGTGACTGAATTTTCTACCATAGTGCTAAATACTTAAAGGTAGTTCTGATCGCATACATCAACAAGTTTCATCACCGTTTGGTATAACACCTATAGAAAACCTTATCAGTATAGTTTGAATGGCAGAACCGAAGAATGCCAACTATAGTTGATAATAATGTCATCTATTTGAGTTCATGTTCGATTAAAGGCTACTCAAGGTACCATATCGTTAAAAGGTTTCCTGGAAATCGATACCTGTCGAAAATAAGTAGTGATCGTGATGAAGTTTCAGAAGAAATTTGTGACTATATAACAAAGAAAAAATTCCTTTCAGTAACAAACCAAACAGTGTTCTGTTGCTCCTAGATACTCAAACTCCAGCCAAATGTGTAATATTTATAAAGTTCACTTTCTTTGTAAGGATGTTCACTTTTTAATGGAACTCATCTAAATCAAAACCTTATAGGATTTAAACAGAAATGGTAAAAGTCTTCCGATTTTTATTCAAGTTTCTTTTCATGCTGATTGGAAATACTAGTCAGACAGGATATAGTCAGTTGCTTCTTTCGCTTTACATTGAGTGACTAGTATCAGAGATAGCGAATGTCATAAGATATTCACTAGATGATTACGGAACACATGTTTTGAATTTACTGATGGGGAGATAACTTGGTATATTTTATTACTATCCTAAGTCCAGATCTCAAGGATACAGAACCCAATAATAATAATAATAATAATAATAATAATAATAATAATAATAATAATAATTATTATTATTATTATTATTATTATTATTATTATTATTATTATTATTATTAGATTTCTGATCAAAATAAACTCAAGTTCAATCCACCTCAGACAATAAGTTAAGAGTAATGAGCATATGAATTTCTTTATAACATAACGGCTACATTAGGTGTTACACTAAGGTATGGTATTTAGTAATTAACTGTTCATCAACTTCTGGTAATATGAACGAGAGGGAATGTTGCATAGAAGGAAGCCTGCTGCGTAAGATCAAGTGGTAAAAGTAAGAAACAATATGATGAATATAGAAATAATGTAGCGAAGATTAATATCTGAGGGGATAATAGTTTTCCTCTACTTTTTCATCAGTCTATCTAGCTGCAAACCTATGAAGTTTATATTACAATAGACGGTATATTAGGGAGCACATATAAAACTTATTATTGAATTGAACAGCGTTATAAATAGGGAATGATAATTTTTACATTTATTAACCCTTAATTACCTATGGATGGATCATTCGATATCAAACGAAGAGTGAGAGAAAAGATCAGTACTGTGTACGTACATGCAGTTATTACTACAAGAGGATTGTGGTGGTTACTGCATTTCATAGTTTACAATGCGAACTGACCACAGATAGACAACTACTGGAAACTAGGAGAAAATGTGTATCTACTTCTTCCTAGTACTGAACTCGTCAAAAATGAACATCTAAACCCTTAGGGTGCCAAACCCGAATCATTTACATTTTGCAGTTAGCACTTACTCTTCCGATCACTTAGCATGTATCTAGTGGTTTACATATCTTTCTTCGATTACTTTGCAATATTGTACTTCACAACCGTTACTGACAAACTTCACTAGTCACAATCTCTCATTGAAGCTCCGAAAGATACCTGTCGAAATTAAACCTATGCTTTTTGGTTTTAAAAGATTGTTTAATTATCATGGAGTTGTGTTAGTCTTTTGGTATACTAACAACAGACACTTTATGTTTTAACAACACAAAACCCAGACATTATAATGAAATTCATCACAAATATGAAAGCAGACATTAACTATTAGCAGATGAGCTTGAAACTATGTGAGATTGCTGCAACATACCGACGTCATTTCACATAATGGACTGCTAAAGTAACTATATATAACATTTACTACTGTCCAATAGTAAGTAGTATAACAGAAGTCACTATAAAATATGAAATCATTTTGGAAATTACTGCCTGAAATCATTCAGAGTAGTTCCCAATAAGAAGGAAGTTCTTGGGGCTGAAGTTATTTGTCACAACTGTAAAGATAAAGTGGTGAAAATAGCTCTTGTTTAAAGCAAATACTATTCAATATGCACTAGTGAAACTCTCTTGAGTAAATGATTCTTTATAGTATTTTAATCTATAATGCTAAGATCTGATTTGAAGAGATCATTCTTGGGTAGACTCGATTACTGAATTAGCATAGATGCCGCAATCCACTATTTTAGTTTGTGCATCAAATGGAAAGAGATGTGATCTAAAAAGC